CTATCCAACTACGATTGTCCATCATTTAATTACCTAATCTGAATTTCAATTTGACAAAGTATATTTGTCACGCCCCAAAACCCAAATCCGGAGACGTGGCAGACGCCGTGCACTCGTGAGAAGGTCCCACAAATGCACAAGGCTCGGAACTTATCATATCACAATTTGATACCATCAAAATATGAAGATCAAATTTTATAATTTTCTCTGATATTATAAAATCTCCAATAAAGTTTAGCTTACAAGATCATGATTTATTTCTAGAATCTATATTCAATTTACAAAATGGCTAGCCTTTTAACTCGTCACTTCCCGTGGTTTCCCCGTCCTCGATTTCACTTCCTAAAATGGTGGACAAGGAAAACTATGAGATAAACTCAATAAGTAAATATGGAGTGCCCCTTATTAAACTTATAGCATGTCAAGAAGTATAATCACGAAAAATAGATACGAGTACGGAAACGAAATAGACGTCTTCTCTATAAGTCATGGCCAGCATATAACACCCACTGGCAGGCGCACTATTTGCTGGTGTATAACCCCCACTAGCAGGGTTGAATGAACCGGTTCTATCAATAACATGTCGACATGTGCTAGCGTTTAACCCCCACTAGCAGGATCATCAATAACATAACCACATCGGAGACAAAATAGGCAGAAGTTAACAAAAAAATCATAATTCACCAATCACTTTCAAATCATCAGGACAATCAATTAAATTTCAAGTAGGCATGCTCAATTTAATGAAAAGCATAAAAATTTCACTTCAATCGATCACACTTGTGTAAAACGGGTTTAATCCCACCACCACTTCAAAAACAAATCAAAACATACTTTTAAAAACTGTATGGGTATTACCATAAATTTTCTTACCTTACTCACATAAAACCGAAAACTCGATCTCAGTGCTAAACGGACAGAACAATCAAGAACCTAATTAAAACACCTCAAAATTAATACCGTACTATCACAATTTCAAGTGAAACTTCATTAAGACTATCCCTAATCACGACTATTTCCTATCAATCTCCACATTATCAGATATCTCCAAATTTGTTCTTATATCACAAATTAATCATTTAAATCCCCGTTAATTGTTCACCTTCGGTGTGTGAACAGTAATCTGTGAACAGTACCCAACGTGAACAGTAACTCCAACTTCCAAAAATTGGCCAAAACACTAGCTAATTCACGGGATTTTCTCCAAAAATCACACAGCAATCAATTAACACTCAATCATATAAATCCCACTTGAATAAATGCTTAAATTGTCCTAAAGCTACCGGAATTCCCTCATTTTTCCAGCACAATTCGAACACACAAGGCAGCAAATAAATGGACAAATTCAGGGCTTGGAGGGGCTGTCAACATACCAGAAAATCCAGCAAGCCAACCGAAGTGCAGATTGAGGAAGAGCCGGTGGCATGGAAGGGAAATTCTGCAGGGGACTCACGGTTTAACCCAAAATTAAAGGAGCCCAACTTAAATCAAAGCTAAAAGGATGAAATCATGGCTGTTCTTACCGGAAAAACCCGAGCAATCACACATAGCAGAAGCCGGCGGACAGCAAGGGGAGGAAACAGTGCAGATCTGGAAAATTCTGGGTTTGGGAGAGAGAGTTCTAAGCTTGGAACTTGGTTCTTGAGCAAGAAAAGATGGAAAATACCAAGCTTTTACCGGTTTTCCAAGGCATGGATGGGTTCTTTTTGCCGGCTGCAGGGAAGAAGAAGAAGAGCAGAACACGCGGGCTGAAGGAGGAAGAAAAGAAACAAAGAAAAAGAAAAAAAAGAAGCTGATCCTTATCCAAAAATTTCCCTCTTTTAAGTCTCTCAACTTTTGAAATTTTGGCTATTAAGCCCAAAACAATATTTTTCTCACACAAAGGTCCTTAACTTAAATGCTAAAATTCCCGAAATTTTGGGATATTACAATATTAACATATCAACTAATAACCATACATGTCAATAACCACACATGTTAATCTTAATCTTAATAATTTTAAATTAAATTTATTTATGTATATAAATTCAATATATAGAAATACTACTATATTTCAACAATCATACATATATTAATATCAATGTAAATAATTTAATAACTTTATAAATATATATATTAAATATAAATAGTACTCTAGTTTAATTACCATACTGATCTTAATCTCAATAATTTGAAATAAACAATTTGATATATAAAAATTCAATCTAAATATCATTTTAGTTCAATAATAATGCACATCCCAATCTCAATATCAATCTCTCATATTGAGCTAATTTGAAATAAATAACAAATTTGTAACTATAGAAATTCAATATAAATATCACTCTATTTCAATAACTATAGATATTTAGACCTCAATCTCAATATCAATCTCAATCTTAATAATCTAAAATCCATAACTTTGTATATACAAATTTACTAAAAAAAAACTCTTCAAGCAAGTAATTAACGTGCAAATTTCAATCTCAAAAACTTGAAAAAAATAACAGCAATTTACTGACAATTCATGCAATAGTAGTAATAATCTACACTAATCTACAAATAAGACAATATAATTTTGTATAAAAAAAACCACAAAAATCTCAATTACCTCTACCAGTGGGGACGATAATGCTATGGAAGCAATCAAGGTGATAAAAGCTGGGATTTTACCTACAAAAAATGAAATTGGGGTCTTGTAAACTCAAATCCAAGGAAAAAAACAAGGAAAGAAACAACAACAAAACGAAAAAAAAACTAACAGTCAGTGCTGCAACTTACAAAAGGCACGATAGAGGCATGTGGTGGCTGAGAGGCGATGGAGGTTGGACCAAAAGGCACGGATCTACAAGTAAATATGCAAATGCCGACTATAAATCCAAGGAAAATAAAAAATAAAAAAGCCAGATCGTCGCAGGAGAGGGGCCAACTCACCGTCACCGTCACAGACGCAGATATTCTGACAGCAGAAGGCTCAATGGCAAGAAGCAAGAATACCAATGGCAAGAACAGCGCCAAAGAACAACAAACTAGATCACCATAGAGGAAGAAGAAGAAATGGGGAAAGAAAGGGAGATTGGGGAGGTTATCAATGGGTATATTCAACAGTAATGTTGTCAAATATACAGAAGAAACGTCGTCGTTTCCTAACATATTCAATAGCATTGCTGTCGAATATGTGAAAACATAATCGACAGCCTAATGCTGTCGATTATACATATTTGATAGAAACATTTCTGTCGAATATGGGTACATATTCGACAACCTATTTGTCAAATATGTATGCTGTCGAATAAGAACAAAAAAATCGATCATAATCAACAATGAAACATATTCGACAAAGATGTTGTCAATTATGTGTTTATAATCGACAATCAATTGGCTGTCGAATATGTTCTTATCTTTTATACTTCGTTTTCCAATAGTGATAAAAAAAATACCATTATACTGATAACTTAGTGTCTTATATTTGCATAAGTTCTTTTTTTCAATTCTTTGCCTGAAATAAATTTAAGGAAAAGAAATTACCACATATTCATAAGAAATTACTGTAAATTTATAATCATTACTTATTTTAATTATTTTCTCCTGTTTAATTTTAGTAGGTCTAATTTTTTTATCTAATAAAATAAAATGTAATAATTAATTGATAAGATTTGATATTTATTTTTAATTAATAATTATTTTAATAAATCTTCTTATTTAATATATGTTGTAATTATCTTTTTAAAATAAAGGTGAAATACAAAAAAATGTATCATATGACATCTTAAAATAAACAAGTAAATTTAAGTACCCTAAATTAAAAATTAAACATATTAAAATTTAATTAATATTCCATCTATTACTAAATATCTATCTTTTTTATAAAAATATATATTTATAGCGATAAATCTGAAATGATACACAAAAAATTCTGGTATCCAGTATGTACCATTTTAATATTAAAATTGATACGTATATGCCGGTATGGTATTGACTACTTTGATCTACTATCAAACATCAACTAAGGTAATTGCAGAAATGTAAATTGAGCATTTTAAAGGTAATGTAAAGCTTTAAAAGTTAAAATAATGAGATTACCTTAATAAAAATTAAGCTATTTATAGAATTGAAATTGGAATGCATTGAGAGAACTAAAATTTGTTGGTGACAGAACTTAGAGAACTAGAAATCTAGAAAGTGAACCTATGATAGTCAAGGGACAGATCCTAATCACTTAAAACAATTAGTACCTCAAAGTAGAGAGTTTGAGAGCTGGTCTTGTGACCTAGAAACTAACTGAGAGCTTAACTAAGATATTGTTGAAAGTAGATTGTGTAGTTTGTATAAGGCTCCTTGTGTCTTCAAATGATTTGAATTTTCTCTTTTAAAGCTACAAATGTGTCTAAATACTTTGTTGCAGAAAGTAGCATAATAGCTGGTCTAATTGGAACGAATCATCAACATACTTAAGTTAGTTCCTGCACCAGAACTTGTCACTTGTCTTCCCTTTTGCAAAATATTTTCCACTTCATCCATTCGCTAAATTTGATTTGCAACTTCCTTCTAAATCATAGCCATTATTTTCAACAATTCAAATAAAGTTAAATAATTAAGAGATAATTTTCGAAAGCTGGTTTAACATGCTGTGTCCATCCAAATGGTCTATTAGATTCCATATCATTGTGAAGTTAGGTGTAATGTGGCTTAATTACAACCATTAATTTAAATCACATGACACACGACATCATTCGATAATTTTGTAATTTATCACGTTAGATAATTAGTGGCACTTTTGAGAATAATGTGCTTTTTCAAGGAATGTTTGCAGGACCTCTGATCAGTATCGATAACAATGTGTTTGTATTTTTTTTGCTTTCTCTGGTTGGACACGTATATATTCTGTCAATATGTATGCCATATCACATGTATAAAGCGTGTAAAAGACAATAGCACAGACAGAATGTAGTTGTAATAAAATAGGTTAAAATACAAATTTAGTCCCTCAACCTTTAGATTAGTATCAAATTTATCCTTAAATTTCAAAAAATATCAAAATTATCCTTAAATTTCAATTTTCAACACCAATATTGTCATTCCGTTGATCATAAGCAACATGTGGCACATTAAATTGCTAAAAACTCAATCATTTAAAAAATATTAATGACCTTGGAAAAATTGCTTGTCTCCTTTGTCTCAATGTTACAACCCTACTTCATTATTATTTGTCTGTAATTTACCTTATTTTTAAATCAACAATACTGTAGTTACATTGCCAAATAAGATTATAAACTTACAATCCTACATAGTATTCAATGAAATATGATGTTATATTAAACAAATAGATGCATATAATATAAAATGTGAACCCCTGAATAAAAAAAAATTATATAATGAACTATTATATTATAAGTTTATAATGTCACGTGATATTATAACTGTAGTATTTTCAATTTTAATTTACTATGGAATTAAAAAAAATACTTTTAATCTTAAGTAATCAATCTACGTAACTCCTAAATTTAACTCATTAATTATCTTCAATCAAATAAATTAACCAAGTTTAGATAATTAATTATCTTCTATTAAACAAAAAAAATGAATTGTCTCCTTTTTGACTCATCATCTTCCCCGACAAGTCATCTCTTTTCAAGCCAAACTTCTCAAAACCCAAATAGCAGCTCATGATTTCCTTCTCTAGTTTTTTTGTGCAATTGAACAAGAACAATAAATCAAATTGTAAAAATTCTAACAAAATTTTGTAAATTCATCATCATCTTCTTCTTCCCCATTTCTCTCTTCTCCAATCACCCTCCTCTTTCTTTTTCTTTCTCTCTCGTCCCTCATTCTCCTCATTTCTTCTTCTCTTCCATTCTTTATGTAGGAACCATAGGAAAAAAAACTAGGAGAATCCAAATCTAGGTTCTCAAGAAGAATGGATTCTTACTAAATATTTTGGTGAATAGGTTCTCAAGAAGAATGGATTCTTACTAAATATTAGGGTTCTCTTGGTGAATGTACCCCAATCTAGGTTCTCAAAAAGATCTTGAGAACCTAACAGAACAACTCGGGTACAAGGAAGAAAAGGGGAGAAGAGGGAAAGAAGAAGAAGAAAAAGAAACAAGGTGAAGGGGGAAGGAAAGAAAACAGCTCAAGAGAGAAATGAGGAGGTGGAATGGTGATGGTATGGGAGAGACAAGAAAGGAGGAGGAAAAAGAAGAACTTTTTTTTTTTTTTTTGGTTTGGTTTTATTTGGAATCTATGAAATTTACATAGAATTACAAAAAAAGGG